TCAATGCATTATTTTAAATAATGTTGAAAATTCGGATAACACGTTAAAACTTCAATGCATTTTAATCCATTATCTTAAATAACGTTCAAACTCGGAATAATGCATTTTAATCCATTATCTTAAATAACGTTCAAACTCGGAATAATGCATTGACTGTCAACACATTTCAATGAATTATTTTAAATAATTTTCGAATTTAGAATAATGTATTGACTGACAATGCATTTCAATGCATGATTTTAAATAATGTTCAAAGTTCGTATAACACGTTAAAGCTTCAACGCATTTCAATGCATTATGTTAAATAATGTTCAAATTCAATATCATGCATTGACCAACAATGCATTTCAATGAATTATCTTAAATAATGTTGAAACTTCGGATAACGCGTTAAAAATTCAATGCATTAAAAGTCAATAGATTGGCATGCATCATTAAAAATAATATAGAAATGGCTCGAAATTATACGGAAGAGAAATGTATTCCAATGCATTGTTGAGTGATTATTTTATAACTAGTGAAAATGCTTTGAAGAAAAATGAATTGCTATGCATTAGGAAACATGATATAAAAGTTTATTTGAAGTTCCATAAATCTGTAATGCATTATAGGACATTATTAGCTTTAGTATTGCAGTTTTGAGAGTTTGCAATGTTGCGAGAAAGAGAGGTTAATAGACAAGTGTTGAAGTAATCTAAACGAGAGCGCTAGGACATATTTCATATTAAGTCAATTGTAATAGCATTCTTCCAAACTTGGAAACCTATAAAAAGTGCAAGTCTTATTTGTTCGTCCGTAAAAGACACATTTTTCGACGATGTCGCTTACATGAATGAATACATTTTTTGTTTCTTTTTCCAAAGATCCTTTTTGAATAGAGGATAATCCCAGGTTTCACTTGTTGGTGAGGTGATAAAATCAGCCATTTTCGAGGGTAGATGCGGCTTACATGTAGGTTTGTACGAGTGGTGGACGTAAAGGTGTGCAGGTGAGTATGTGGCGGTGGAGCCCTGGATGGTATTAGTAACCTGCCCTGTCAGGATAGGCTAGGTTGCGCAAGTTATATGACACAGTAAGGTTACACGATTTTTTACAGAAGGAATCATAGGTTACTGGAATCATAACCTTTCAAACTATGGTAGAAATGCAGCCGTCACAATGCTGTAAAAATTTCAACAAACCATAGAAATAACTTTGAGCTGGATGAGGTCATTCACAGATTTCTTTTCAATGAACGATAGTAATGTTTTATTTCTCGTTCAATTATCTCATTTTAGCACACATCATTAGTATTTCTTCTGAACTTCTTTCCTCTTTTTTATTCCGAGACTCACTGTTCTCAGTTTGAGGATTCTGTGATCTACCCCTAGGTGTTTTCCAATCTTAATAGGTCTGAATTGAAGAGGTTCTATATATTACTTTGGTTTATACGTGGATTGATTATAAATATGCAGCAAGAACGGCAGGATTTTCTATGTAATTAAAAGCTGTATCGAAGCATCTACTATCTGCAAAAGAAAAACTACTAGGACCGCTTGTTTTTCTAGAACAAATATTGCTTGCGTTAGATTTTTGTACCCTAAATAAATAAATGCTCACTTCCAACGAAATCTTTATCCAGAACTTTAATAATATCTTTTCTCTTCTACATAGTTCATCTTCGTCCATACTGGTTACAAGACAACTGAACTTTCTGGAAGAAAATCTGACATTTTAATATCCAGAAACTTATCTGCAAGATAGGACAAGTCACAGGTTATGGGACAAAAATGACAGGGTACGGTGAGGCAGGTTAAGATCGAAATATTACATGGTAGAGTAGGATCAAGTTTAGAAAAATTTACAGGACAGATCATAAGTTGTGAAAAATACGTACTCTGTATGTCTTTAGTAGAGTCTGGATGTGAGTTAAGTTAATAACTATATTCAAACTAACACCCAACTCACACTGCACTTTATTGGCACTGGGAATAGTCGTTTATTATGATTCTAGATTTAATATGAGACCAACAAATACCTTTCGTTCTTAAATATTCTTTATCGAATTTATTTTGTCTAGTGTTTTTCTTCATATGACATTGCTACCTATATCAGTTACAAATAATATTCTATTCAAATAACACTGCCAACACAATTAGCAAATCTTTCTCTATTTCTCTTTATTTAGAAGGCACATAGTCAACCATTTCCTTCAAAAATTCATTTATGTAAAACTTCTCTACGTTCTTCGTCATGAAAAGTAGTAAATTGATGGTGATTTATTTTCGAACATTATTTTATGTTTATTTACTATCATATGAATAGAGATATGTTCGCAGTTATTTCTTGTTGAATTATCTTTTGCGTTTATTTTGTATCACACAAATAGGAAATTGCTATGGCGATTTTTTGTTCAATGTTGTTTTCCGTTTATTTCCTACAATTTAAATAGGAATATGTTTGTAGCTTTTTTTGTTGCTGAACATTATTTTTGGTTTATTTCCTTCCATAGGAATAGGTATGTTTTGGTAGTTATTTGTTTTTGAATATTGTTTTTTTGGTGTGTTTTCTATCATGTGAATAGGAATATGCACATAGTTATTTGTTTTGGAGTATTGTTTTTCGTTTATTTCCTACCATATGAATAGGAATATGTTTATAGATATTTGTTGTTGAATATTGTGTTTTTGTGCGTTTCCTATCATGTGAACAGGAATATGTTCGTAGTTAATTGGTTTTGAGTATTGTTTTTCATTTTTTTCCTATCACATGAATAGGAGCATACTCTTGATCCTTTGTTTTTGAATATTGTTGTGGTTAGTTCGATTTGAATAGTTATCAAATGCCTAAATACTATTTAAGCCAAGGATAAATATAATGAGAAATGCATTAAGTAAGGTTGATATCTGTATCCATAAGCATGCATGCAGTTTTGAATGCATTGAAAAACTTTAATGTATGCAATTATATGATAATGCAATCTATTTAATGCAGTGTAATGCATTGAAGTGGTCATCCATTACAATGAATTAAACTAAGAAATGTATTATAATGCATGAATTGGGTTGTATTATCAGGTAATTGCGTCCATTGCATTTCTTTTGGAAAATAATGCATTGCAATGTACATTATTTCACAAAATCGGCTACATAGGTAGTTACGAATCGTAATCTCACTGATTCACGTTAACGTGAGATATAATGTGTGATTGTTTTGCATGCAAAAAGAGAAAAACTGATGAAAACGAATCTTTAAAATTCTATTTCTTTATTAAAGCTCAAGTGAAACTTTGATAAAAATTTAACCGAAGATTGAAAGCACACTTGTTATATACATTACTGATACTGGAACAATACTTAAAGAAAATATTATTAGGATGATAGTAAATAACTAATTTATTTATCTTCGCACCAGATAAGCTGAGAAAATGTCTTTCGTATCGATCAGATGAAAGTTACATAATTTGAAAGAGTTCAAAAACTGAGTCAGATTATCTAATTTTTATACAGACGCATTTCCAACTTTGCCACAAAAATTTTAAATAGAAATTTCACAACACGAATAATCATGATTCTTTTTTCACTTTCTTATTTTGCTTTTTCTTCTTTTTACTGCACATAGGAACGTGTTCATACAGACAATCATTCACTTATAACGTATACATAAATAAAAAAGATACTTTCATCAATCAAAATAATAGAAAACATTCAAAAAAAGATGTATTCTTAATCCCCTAGGCTGAAAGAATAGGGTCTAGAAACCGAAGTTCACCCGTGTCTGCCTGTCAGTCTGTAACACGTGGTACAATTTGCCATAGCCGTGGCACAAATGACCATTTTCATGGTAGGGTGTGGGTGTGGGTGTGGGTGTGGGGTGTGGGGTGTGGGTGTGGGTGGTGGGTGGTGGATGGTGGATGTGGGTGTGTGGGATGTGAGTGTGGGTGTGGGGTGTGGGTGTTGCCGGGTGTAGGTGTAGGTCATCTCTTCACCCACACCCTCACCCACCCACATCCACACTCCACACCCACCCACATCCACACTCCACACCCACCCACCCACACCCACACCCCCACCCCCACACCCAC